GCTGCGCGAGACGACTCGTTTGCCCGAGGTGCTGCCCGGCAGTGGCCCCAAGGCGGCGGCGCAGAAGACGGAGTCCGTCTCGTGGCCGCCGATGCTGTACATCTCGGGCATCAAGGGAGTGCTGGAGGACTCGGCCGGAAAGCTGAAGGTTCGCTTCGGCAAGTGGGGACCTGACGTGCAGTGCCCAGTCTACCGAGGCCCGTTCACCGGGGACGCGGTGCTTACCTTCGGCACGCCGGGGCACGCGCAGCTGCCGCCGGGCTCGTGGGCAACGGCCGGTGGGGCGAGCGCATGCGCGTACGCTGGGTCAATCTGCGCGAGCAGGAGATGAAGATCGCGGACGCGACCAAGATGCGGGACCAGGAGATGCAGCGGGTGATGGAGTCGGCCAACGAGGAGAGGGAGTCGGCGGTGGCCAAGGCGAAGGAGGAGGAGGCCAAGCGGCTCGCACTTGAGGCGGCGCAGGCCGCGCGCGACGCGAGCCTGCGCGAGCACCGGATCAAGGTGGAGGAGCTGACGAGGCGGCTCGGCAAGGAGGAGGAGCAGACTCTCGTCGCGCAGGAGAAGCAGCGCGCGGCGGAGGAGAAGGAGCGCGAGGCGCGGAAGGAGCGCGATCTCATGCAGCGGGGCGCCGACGAGCTCACCGAGCTGATGAGCAGTGCGCTGGCGCAGAAGGAGCGCGAGCTGCAGGCGCACAAGAAGACGTGTCAGCTGGCCGACGGCAGCGCGGGCGCAGAGGCGGCGAAGAAGGAGTACGAGCGGCTGAAGGCGGAGCTGCAGAGCACCAGAGAAGAGAAGATGAAGAGAGAGCGTGAGATGAAGGAGGAGATCGCGGCCAAGGAGGAGGAGAGGAAGGCGGCGGAGGAGGCGGCGGAGGGCTCCGAGTACCAGCAGTATCGCAACGACCACCTCTACCTCAAGGACATGCTCGTGACCATGTGCGCCCGCCCGCCTGCCCGCGTGCGTGCGCATGCGCGCTCACGGCTCCATATCACCTCCACCCATGTGACCGTGGCCTCCGCACCCCACAGGTACGAAAAGATCTCGAGGCACCCGAAGCACGAGTACGCGTTCAGTAATGGGCTCCACCCCTTCAAGACTTTTGGCGACGTGAAGGGTGTGGGAGAGCTGCTCTTCCCGAAAGGGTGCAACCAGATGCAGAAGCTCGAGGCTGAGTGCCTGGACGGCTACCTTCAGCATGGCTTCTGGGGCGAAACGACGATGGACGCATTTCCAAGCTGGCCTCCCTTCTCCGCGGCCAAGGTGTTCAAGATCAAGACCGAGAC